AAGGGACATGAAAAACCAGATCACATCCTAAAAACAAACAGCAGTCACTAAGACATAACGGTACATCAGGAGCCGACTCGATGGAGTTTAATGTCATACCCAGGGAAGGGCATGACAGATCTGTTTTGAAAGGTGGAGGGGGAGGGCATTTTGTAAGTCGACACCCACCCCAGCCCCACAATGGTTGGAGATGAGATGAGAAAATTTTAGGAAATAGTACCTCTAGATGGCCAGAAATGACACTTTTAGTAAAATTCATCATCATCACATCACCATTAGTCAAAATGAAGCGCCAAAAGAAATTCTCATGATCTTTTATCAGGGATAGTTGACAACCATAGAGATCTTATTAATGTGTGTGCATACACCATAGAAAACCAAGCTTAAAAACATTGTCTTTGAGTATGTACTTTACATAGGCCTACTTCAAAAACGTGATTTCACAGAAAATTTGAGGAAATAGTACCTCTCGAGATGGCCGGAAATGACACTTTTATATAATAAAATTCATCATCATCACATTACCATTATAGTCAAAATGAAACGCCAACAAATTTCTCATGATCTTTTATCAGGAATCTATTTAATATCCAGGACAACTTAGGCCTAATTATAGCTTACTAAGCTTTAACTATATATACTATAGTATGATCAACAAATCACAACTTTTTTTTCTCGCATTTAGCACAATTTTCTTCACTTTTTATTGCTATTAATATTATTATCAATTATTACTATCGTCATTATCATCATTGTTATTATTAGGCCTATTATTACTATTAGTAGTAGTACTATTAAACAAACATGATCTTTTATCAGGGATTTTTGACAACCATAGAGATCTTATTATTATTAATGTGTGTGTGATATACCATAAAAAAAAAAACATAGAAAAAAGCTTAAAAACATTGTCTTTGAGTATGTACTTTACATAGGGCTACTTCAAAAACGTGATTTCACAACCACTCAGCCCCACCATGGCTGGGGCTGAGGTGAGAAAATTTGAGGAAATAGAACCTCTCGAAATGACCGGAAATGACACTTTTATATAGTGAAATTCATCATCACCACATTACCATTATAGTCAAAATGAAACGCCAACAAATTTCTCATGATCTTTTATCAGGGATCTACTTAATATCCAGGACAACTTAGGCCTAATTATAGCTTACTAAGCTTTAACTATATGTACTATATTATGATCAACAAATCACAACTTTTTTTCGCATTATTTGTTTCGCACAATTTTCTTCACTTTTTATTGTTATTAATATTAATATCAATTATTACTCTCGTCATCATCATCATCAGGAGCAAATTCGTAATGGCCAATAACTTCATAAAAAATTGCCAAAAGTTGATTCTATTACAAGTGAAATACCAAAAATCCCCTCTAGAAAAAAAAAGCTAAATTAATGAAGAGTTCTCATTATTTTCTGTCCAGTGGAATTAATTAAATTAGGAACTAGAAACTTTTTTCTATTGACAGGAAAATTGTGAGTTTCTATTGACAAGATTTTAAATTGTTAGAGACTAGGCCTACTAAGAAAGTATAACTATAACTAATAATTCAGATTAATCTTTATACTAATTAAATTACGGACACATATTATGTTGAACAGATGACATGGACATAAATTTATATACACTACCCCCTCTATGTTTCCACCACTTTGCAGCAGTGTAGTGATGGTAAACAAAGATTTGCCGGTGTGAATGGGTGTTACCCCGTGTACATACATATGGTAATTTACGAGTATTTTGTAGGGCTAGGCTATGTGTTACATCATAATTAGATAATTGTAAATGATTTGCCTGCTTCTAGGCTATACTACTAGGCATATCCATACAATATGCCTAGCCTAGGATAGCTAAACTAAAGTTCTCCTACATTTCGTTGAACATGTCACGGGCCCAGACCGGACGTTGGTTTCGTCAATTGCATGCTCTTGGCTTTGGGTCGGACCTAGGCCTAGGCCCTAGTAGGCCTAGCCTAGGCTAGGCTAGATAAGCTAGGCCTAAGACTAAGGGTTTAAATCCAGAATATTAATCGGCAATGTATATTTATTTAGTAGCTAGAGCTCATTTTTAAAATTAGGCCTAGGCAAAGCTTAGTTTTATACCACATTACATATACCTCCATCCATGACCCATGTCATGACCAGACCAGACCTGTCAGTGTCCTAACCAGCCATTGGGCCATGCATTTTATCACAATTAAATAAAAATAAATAAGTTGTAAAATACTGTAACAATATTTAATGATGCTATTATTAGTAGGTCCCCCTAGATAGGCCTACATCATGTAATATGTTGCATTTTGTTTTAAAAATATATTAAAGATTTTTATATTAATTTGTTTGAATTAAATAATGCAATAATACAAGATGTTACAGTAAATGTGCATATCTAGGCCTAAACCTACTACATAGCTGTCAAGGAAATGCTTTTTCCTACTTCAGTGTATCCCTCCATTTCATTGATTTGATAACAGATAAAATGGAGCTGCATCCCATTCTAGAAGCCTATGATATACCAAATCCTGGCATATGGTACGTGTTGTCAGCACGTGGAGTACCACCAAGTATGCGTGTCGGTCACACGTGTGTGTTTGTACCTGGCAGTGGAGAGAAGAGATCTGGATCTAAACTGTTAATCATTGGCGGGGCAAACCCAAGTGGATCGTTTGGTGAAGCTCATTCATTGGATTTTGGTGAGAAACATCGATTTATGAAAAGATTATAGAGTCGGTACTTAAGTATTATGACATCATTACTGTCAACAGCTGGGCATACACTCAATGATTTTTTAACTAATTATCATCTTCACCATGATCATCGTCATGTTCATAATATCATCGTCATTATTCATCATCAATATTACCATTATCACTATATCATCATCATCCCCACCACACTATGTTACAGGGTAAAGTGTATTACTAACACGTAATTATCATAATAATCATCATCATCATTATTGAATACCATGACTATTACCATCATGTTTTATACTACATACCCTCAATATTGAGTATGTTTGCATAAATGATGTGCATTATCCTCAAAGAGGGACTTTGAAGATTACCTCTCCAAAATCTCAATTTCATCAATATTTTTAATTATAATTGACTGTCTTATTAGCTATGCAATACAGTACAAATATAATTGAGGAGGCTTGCATGTATGGTAAATGGTTGGTTTAACTTCCTAGTTTAGCCAGGTAAATATCTCACTCATAAACACCATCTCTACTGATTTGTGCATTTTAATGTATGTTCGTTTATTAGACCAATATGAGTGGGACACACCAGATTGGAGTGGTCTGCAAGCACGTTATGAACACACAGCATGGCTAACAAACAACAGTATCTATGTGTTTGGTGGTGCAGAAATGAATAAAAATCTCAATACCGTGCAGAAATTAGATTTAGGTAAGTACTCTCTGCGCATTGAGACCCCAGTATTATGTGCTATATCAATCCCACTACATATATATATATACGTATATACGTATATATACACGCGTATATATACCGCGTATATATACACGCATATATATATACGCGTGTATATATATATACGCGTATATATGCGCGCATGTATATACGCGCGTGTATATATACATGCGTGTATATATACATGTGTATATATACATGCGTATATATATGTGTATATAAGTATAGGCTATACTAGCCGACACTTGAGTACTAGGATTGACGAACACCTTGGCAAAGACAAAAATTCACACATTTTAAAACATCTAAATGAAAATAAAAAATGCAAAACATTAGCTAATACCACTTGCTTCAACGTCATTGACCAGGACAACAGTGAAATTAGATTACGAATAAAAGAATCACTACATATTAAATGGAACAGTCCAAATCTCAACATTCAACTCAAACATTTAAGCTTACAACTTTTAAATTAGCATACAGCACTAATGTATGCAAGGTGTTCTACACACCTTGCATATGATTATCTAGAACGATCGTTACGTTACCTTAATTGGTAACAGTTTGTTTTCACTAATTAATATTTATTCATTTCTTTGTATAAATACTCTTAGTTAAGAATGACAAGACTTTTCTTTCAGTTTATTTTGCCTTTCAGTTTGTACTGATGATGGGTAAGAGAGAACACCCGAAACATGTTTACAATTAAATCCTTAGTTCTTTTCTTAAAATGTGTTGTATTTTTCATCAATTTGCGTCCGTTTGGTTCCATCATTAAGGATTTTAGTTCGGAAGACCTGCCAATTTGTTTGCTTAGGAAGTATGAGAAGATATCCCTACACTTCATTAAAGCTGAATTGGATTATCATTTTTTACACAATATATATATATACACCAAACAGCTTCTGGTTGCTAAGCAACAACAGCCAAAAACTCTCTGCAATTGCAGGAAAAAAAATGAATGTCCACTCTCTGGAAATTGCCTCACCTCATCCATCATCTACAAAGCCACTGTCCACTCAAATGATGACACAAAATGCTACATCGGGCTCATTGACACACCGTTCAAAACCCGATACACAAACCACAAATACACTTTTAACACCCCCAAACACAGAAACAGCACTGTGCTCTCCAAATACGTATGGAAATTAAAAGACAGCAACACACCCTACAACATTAAATGGTCTATCATCGACAGAGCATCGGCTTACTCCCCAAAAACTAAACGCTGCAACCTGTGCATAACCTAAAACTTCACATAATATATTCAGACAAACAGTCAAACTAAACAAAAGAACCGAGCTATTGTCTAAATGCAGGCAGAGCAACAAATACCTACTTAAAAACAATTAACTCATTTGCATTTTCTCCTGTCTTAGCATTCATATACTCATACAATCCTTGTATTCTCTCACACCTGAAGATTGCATTAGCATGAAACAGTCTGTAGAGTGATAATACCCAGTTCTACAAGTTCTACATTTTCAATATTTACGCTCTGCATTATCACGTGTATCGAGCACTATACGTTGCTAGTATTGCCAACTACATTTATTCATTATATATATATATATATATATATCATGTGATGCCACAAGAAGTCCGTTGGATAAAAAATTTTAAATTATACTTTGCCTATCCAAATAACGTTACTTTGATTGCCAATCCCTAATACTGTGGTGTCAAAGCAAGTTTGGACCAAAGCCATAAAAACTCACCCTGAGAACCCCACCAGGCATTTTAAATTCCTGGACTCAGACCAATGCTCTAGTCGGCCCCTTGATCCGGACCCCTCCCCCACCTTCCTCACCGGACACGTAGGATCCCTTGTTGCCAAATTAAGTTAAGTTTTTAATTACGTTCCTGTGTTGATTTTAATTTTCGGTTAATTAAAGCACAATATTTAACGATGTAGATTAAGGGTACCAAAACTCTTTATTATGTCAATGTACATGTAGTTACTATTAAGCGTTGAAGATTAAGACAATAGAAAGCTGGTCACAGCAACACATTTATCAGGGTAGGTAAAACATCTTTGTTCTGATTGAGGGGGTTCCTGTTGGAAATAAGGAAACAAAGGCGAGGGCATGTTAAGCAGACTGAAGAGCAACTATAGTAAATGAGATTATACTGAGGATTAAAGCCAGCTGAGACAACCTGGTTGAAGGCTAGAGTGGGTATGGCTATAACTTTTGTGACCTGTCAGCCTCATTAGAATCACCAACATTAAGATATGTTTTGTTTATAATTAAACCTACAAATCTAATTACAATACAACTATACATTTACAATGAAAATTAAATATGCCTTTGGCAATCGGAATTAAATAAAGTTAAGGGAAGCCTTTATGGTCAAGGGCAAAGATGTAGAGGGGTCAAGATTTAGTTCATTTATTAATTATAAACAGCAAGAAGGAAGAATTGTATGTAAAATCATTGAACAGTATTTATTATTACTTCTATTCCTGTGTCAATGTCTGTAGAAATGGTTTGTTTTGTCGCCTTTCTTTAGTTTACAATTGTTCTCTGTCTAAAAACGACAGTCCTGATATTTTTAATTGTAGTTTTAACCAATTTAAGTGTGCTACATTTGACCATATTTCATTTTCATTGCAGGGGTTTTTTGTCTTTATGATGATTCTTGTTTTCATTTATATTTATTGCTATTCTTTCTTAATATAGCTTTTATATAATCATTTTACATTTTTAAATTATGATAATATGGTTTTAAATTATATTTATATCCTGTAGTTGGTGTTTTACATTGTTGGATGCAATAAAGAAGTAAATAAAACTATACTTTTATATTTGTATATGGTACTTATTACACATTTCTTACTATCCAATAATTAGAGTTCTTTAGTCTAATTATTCTAATATATAAATATAAATAAAAGGTGAACATTAACCACAAGCTACAGCTGATTCAGTTTGATTATTTTGTATTTTTTAAGCGTCTGGAACTTGGACAACACCTGTGGTGAGAGGAACTCCACCAAGCCCTCGCACCTGCCATTCGCATGCGACAGATGTCAACATGATGTATGTGTTTGGCGGTGGAGAAGCAGGTGCGGAACCGGTAGCCGATAGGCAGATTCATGTTTTTGACGCAAGTAAGTGCTACGAAATAGCAAAGCTGCATTCATGCATGCTGTAGATCAGCCAACTAAATTCAATTCAAATCAAATATTTATTTTTAATACAATTTTCATAGATTTTCATTTAGTTAATTTTTGGGGGGAATTTTTTCTCTTTTAAAATTTTCATTCCCTTTTCCTATTTTTTTTTAAAATTTCACTTCCTGTTCATTTCAGTTTTCCTTTTACATTTAATTTAATTTTTCATTTCAATTTTTATTTAATTTAAAAAAAAAATGTTATTTAACAGTTAATTAGTTATTTTATATTCAATTTAATTTATTGATTTCATAATTTGTTTTAGCTATGGACTAGAAACACATCATTCTGAAATTTAATATATAGTAGACAGCAAATTAAGCAAAGCTTTCAATTTGGGGATTTCGTCAATTAGACCAAGTCAAAAATACTAGTTTCTCATCCCCTTATGCATCCATTTTCTCAGCCTCACCAATTTTTTTTTTATTTATTAATTTTTTTATTTTCTGAAACGTACGGAAATCTGGCTAACTCACATCAGTAAAATTCCTCTCTCGATTGATAATGGTTGGGGATACATACGGTATGAATCATGTCTAGTGCTTCTTTTATTTGCTTTCAATATGTCTACTTGGTAAAAGTGGAAAGTAATAGCTGTTTCCCATCGACCATCTTGGATTTACCATCCTGGAGTTTAAAAAAAAAATGTCCTCATTCTCCTTTATTCAAAATATTAGGATAAGAAACTACTGTTTTTTTTTTTGGCCTTAAATGATAAATAATTGAGCTCACACCATAAAAAATTGAGCAAGCAAAAAAATAAGTTACCTTTATTCTTGAATCTTGTTAATAGTAATCCAAATCTGAGACAACCATAGTCCAAATTAAGGCAATTATAATCCAAATAAAAGAAGTTAGCAAGCTGTTACTAAACAACAACCAAAGCAGTCTGCTTACTTCAACAACTGAACTAATTAGAACAAAGAACAACAACTGCACACCTGAGCAGATCACCAACTAAATGCAAATTAATATGCAAGTGAAATATATGAATAAATGAATAACAAATTAAATTAGGAACTTTTAGAACTTAATGAATTATAATGTAGAATTTCAAGCTATAAAAACACATATTACAAAAAACTGTGCAGTAACAACCACTATAATAGACTAAAATATAATAACATAATCATACAAAGCCTACAGATGCTTTGTGTATATTGTGATTCACGGTCAATCTGCCTCCAGAAAACGCAGATAAATTACATACATACATACGTAAATTACAGCATTATATAGCCCTATTTCATGAAGATCAGAGCACTCAAAGCATGGACTATATAGCTCATTGAGGTGGTCTCGAATTGGAGGGCAAACTATAATTGTAACCTATTAACCTGAATAAACCAAGAATGTTTAGTGTACAGTCTTTGCATGAAATCAATACTGTGTGCTTAGCTCATAATGCAGGCACCGCATACTATAACAAATGAAATTGATAAATTATAGTCAGGATATATAAATTATATTTTTATTATATTTTGTACATTCTTCTTAAAGGTACGCTAACATGGAGTCAACCAAAAACCAGTGGCAAGTCTCCAAAAGCAAGACATGGTCATGTGATGGTTGTCATTAGCAACAAGTTATTTATTCATGGTGGCATGTCTCGTGGGTCGTTCTTTGAGGACGTTCATGAATTACAGTTAAGTAAGTATATTGTTCCTAATGACCCCCAGATCTGTTGTTTCCAGAAAATGCGAGGGTCTGGGAAATTCCCCATCTTTAAATTTTCACTGGCAGAGGCGGATTTTGGGGTGATAAGAGACAGGTCGCTTTCACATGCCTGTCTCTTATACACATCTAGATGTGTATTGGGGACTAACATACAGAACAGTTAGCCTATTAATCACAACACAAACAGCCTGTTCGATAAGTGCAATATTATTTGATTTATATGTGTACTACATATTATGCAATGCTTTGAGAATAACATTACTTAAATGTAAATATCCACTTAAAGAACATCAGTTTGGCATCTTAGTTCAGTATAGCACCCAACAGTAATCTGAGGGTCTTGGGTTCAAATCCTGATAGGAGCTTTTTTCCAAATTAGCATAAAGCATCTGTAAATATTGAATTACTTGAAAATATTTTTTTGGTTTTTTCAGAAACAATGACATGGAAACAGGTACGTTGTAAAGGAGATATCCCATCAGGCCGAGCTGCTCATTCTGCCATTGCCTATGGCAACCATTTCATAATTTCCTGTGGAATGAACCAAAATGGTGCAATGGATGATCTGTATAACTTTAATACAGGTAAAACATTTGACATATTAATATTAAAAATAACCATTATTATTAATAAAAAAAAAGTCCTCTTGTTCTTTCCATTATTATAAAATTTAAATAAAAATAAATAATTCTATATTCTGAATTTTCCATTTTGTAATGGAAAACAATTTAACAAATGATGTCTTTCAAACTTTAAGATTATATTATTTTTATTATGTTTTGCATCAATATGAATAAATTTAAAGGAAAAAATATAAATATAGTATGACCCACCCCTCTGATTGTTGACTAATTAAATGCTGTTTTTAAAGTAGCTTTTAATGTTTTGTCTCCATAGATACATCCCGGTGGACAAAACTAAATATAGAAGGACCTCCCCCTGCCTGTCGGTTAGATCATTCCATGTGTCGTATTGAATGGAATTACAAACAAAACAAAAAGCAAACAGAACATTCCATTACAAATCAAGAAAACTTACTTGGAATTCAGGAATTGACACTTTGTGATGGTAACTTTAATAAAGAGGAGAATTTCCATCCGGAAGATGTCAGTCAGGATGAGGATCATGGTGCTGCTTCAGGTGATGATAGTGTCAGAGAATGTGCCTCTGAAGCTGCTTCTTCTGCAGGAGATACTGCCACTGAAACTGCCTTATCTGCTGCAGATGCCTCTAAAGCTGCCCCATGTGCAGCAGACACTGCATCTGGAGCTGCCTCATCTGCACCAGACACTGCCTTATCAGCTAATAAAAAAAATACTTCTGATCAAGCTTCTTTAGAGGGAGCGGTTGAAGGAAAAGCTATGTCTGATGATATACCAGAAGAAGGGAGCTACACTTTGCTTCTTATGTATGGTGGTATGGACACCCAAGGAGAAATTTTTGACGACATTTTGGTTTGCAGGATAAACCTACCCACTTGACAAAACAACACAGAAAAACAAAACAGGATTGGCAGCTTCACAGTCATTTAAAAACTGACAACCATCCATATAAGGTCACGGAGCAGAATAAACACTTGGTAATATTGTAATGGTCTTGTATAGCGCCTTCAGCAAAATATCTCATGCCGATGTGATTTAAAAAAGATTTGCGATGCGATTTAAAAACAAGGAAGTAGCATACTAAAAAGAAAAACACAGAAAAAAACACCATCACATTATTTCGCTTTCACATGCTGGCCAGATATTGGTTTCACAAGTGGTATTACGATGCAGGAAGTGAGTGAGTGGTTTGAGTTAGCGGTGGCAGTTCAGGCTCTTAACCTTGAGGTCGAAGGTTTAAACATTGGTTGTGCATTTCGCTTGTGTCCTGGAGCAATGACCTAATTTTATCTCTTCATCCATGAGTATTAATGGGTACCTGGTAGAAATTGTGCATCAGTCTGTGCGCTTTAAATCGCAGCATAACTGGATATACCCCAGGGAGTGGAAGGTTACCAATCTACAGATCCAATGACCAAGGGTAATAACACCTCCAAGTGCCTTGTATACCAGGCAAAAGGCATGGTCTCCAAGTACCTTGTATCCATATGTACTAGTGAATAAAAACAATTAAAATGCATTAATGAAGTATAAATACGTGTGTGATTAAGTTAGGCAGTATTAAAGAGTTGAAAAATATCACATTGAGTTAATGCTGTAGATTTTGGAGTCAGACATTTCAAATTAATGAGTCAGACGCTTGTACCCTTTACGTTCTAATTGTCATATGTTCTTTATTACATGGGCAGTCCACAGTTGTCATGTAGCGTTTAGTACTGTGAATTAATGTTCTCTTGAGTCTCATTTATTTGAATGTATTGAACATTTACAAAATGTGTTTTAATGCGTAGGGTAATTTAACATTGAACTGGCATCATACATTTATTTTTAAACCAATTTTGTTTTCAATTTCAACATACATCATACAGTGGTGTGGCTCCAAGGGTATTAATTAACATGAGGGTGGCAGATGGGTGAAGGGGTTTGGAAAGATAAAGTGAGGGGTACTAGGTAATGAATGAAGTGATAGATCCTTAACTACTTGGAGTTAAGTTTTATGAGAAAGTTTTGAGTGTTTGTTCGCCTTGAGAGTATAGGTTTTTTGGGGGCGTGCATGCCCCTTGTCTCTTGGTGTCACACCACCGGTATAATTGTTCTACGGGTTGAGCTAAAAAAAGACAGCCTAATTGCAGAGAGAATATCTTTAGCACAGTTTCAATAAACTTTGTGGCATAAGTCAATATTATCTTATACAGTAGAGTATATTTATTGCACAGGTGGGCAAAGTGCGGCCCGTGGGCCGCATGTGGTCCCACAGCGATTTTTTGCAGCCTGCGAATATGAAATAAAAACCCTATGTGTGCGGCCCGCCAAGAAACATTGGCTAGAAAACACCTATGTAAAAAGTAGTATTAAAACTGGGAATAAAGTGGTTTAAAAGCAGTGTTTGGAGGTTTTTAGAAGCGCACTGGAAAGATAAAAGCTTGGGTGCGGCCCTTGGTGTTAAATCAGAAATTCACTTTGGCCCTCCGACCGATTTTTATGCCCACCCCTGATTTATTGTGTGTTTTGTCTACCAATCTATCATTTATTACCACAAACACAAAGTATCGTATATATA